AGCATATAACTGCCAAAACAGACACAGGAACTATATGAACATAAATATAAAATAATTTTTATATAAAGTCAGATCTAAATAGTTGAAGTAATATTTATTGTTCATGGGTACACAAAGCCAATATAATTTTTAAATGACAATATTACCTTTTAGTCAATGAACGTCATTCCAATTAAATTACTAAAAATATTTTACTGAGTCAGAAAAAATAGTAGCAAAGTTCCTTTGAAACCAGGAAAAAAGATGTAAAGGAAATAAATTCAGCAGTATTAGACCTTAAACTATATCATAAAGGAGAGCATTGTTGAAGTGTAAAAAGGATAATTTTGATTATTTTAAATTAAAATTTTCTTGTATAAATAAAACTTACGTAGTCAAGAATAGAAGAAATGCAGAAAATTGGGGGGAAAACTTTCATTGACAATCTCTCAGATAGGATGTGATTGGGTTGGAATATTGCTGTGGTGTAGAAAATGATGAGCTAGTTGGTTGAGAAAAACATGGAAAGACTTCAACCTATGAAGGAAGATACTATCTACTTTTAGAGAAACAGATGACAGGTGGTAATAAACATAGTACAGTCTTACATATATGTGTATAAGTGTATATATATTATATATATGTATGTTTACAGATATCTCGTGTATGTATCCATGTTTAATTGTAGCCTTTGAGGGTGGGGGAGGGGGAAGAGATGGAAAAAAATAAAGTAAAAAGTGCACAGCAGAGAACAAAAGAAAACTAACAAGGAAGTAAAGAAAAGCTGGGCAGCTTTGAAAACAATATATAGTATTTATTATATAGTTTTTCTTGAAATGGAAATGTATTGTTTTATATTGAATCCTCTCCTATGGTCTGCTATGTACAGGGCAATTTTTTTTCCTTTCTCATTTTGTATTTAATTTTAAAATAAAAAAATATCAAAAAAGGAAACAGATGCACCTACTTTTTTATCTTTACATAAAAAATGCAGTGTCATCTACAATAGATGATCTATTCTTATTTCTTATTCCAAAACCTGGAGATCATTTGTTGCTTCTTACATTTTACAATTTTATTATTAATCAGTTGCAGTCAATAACTTTGTGTTGCCAAAAAAAAAAAAATAGAAACAATAAATCTTAGCTATATCAGTCCTTTCAATGCCACAACTTTCTAGTGGTACCAGGAAAAAAAAGCCAATGACAAAAGCATACTAGGACAATGACTCTGGTTTTTCCAGGGATTATTTTTATGCTAAAAGATTCCTAGTTTTAAATATGGCTTTTAGTGTTGATCAAAAGCAGGGACTGGCATGTTAGATCGCCTCATTATATTATTCTTTTTCTTTATTGGATATGTAAACCATTTGCTCACCCATACTTAAAAATCTTTAATTACAGAATCTAAAATGAATTATGCAGTGGTCCATTGACTATCAGCTATCTCTAGCATGATAGTTCTCTCTAGTCTGATAAAGCTTGCAAAAGTTATTTAGACTTGCTTTTTAAGTCTCTGATCTTCTGATCCAGGGTAGCCTCGCTGGTCAAAATCTAACTGGTAAGTTAAATTATTGTTTCTTTTTTAACATTAAAACCAGAAATTCACCACTCAGCTCTCATGAGAACAATAGGTTTAAAGAGAATCTAGGCAATCGCTAATAATACTTTATCCCATATAGAGTTTGGTTATTTTTTCAACAGAACTGATTAATCAGAAGAGAGGGATGAGGTCATGTATTTTTCTTAATCATTAGATTCCAAAATGCAAATGAAGGTATGTGAAAGGTATCAGTGAAAATTTATGTTGCTGTTCTCTTTCTCTTCCTTTCATCCTCACTTATTGTGATCATAATCCTTAAAGATTCAGAAGACTAACTGAAATCCACTTGAATGATTTTGCTTTATTTGTATTCTCCTAGCACTCTGAGTAGAAGAAAATACTCTGAAAGCCATACAGCAGATGCCTAATGCTGTCCCAACATGAAAAGGGTTCACTGTAGTAGAGAAAGTATCCCTTTGCTAATGTTAATCCAATTATAAGGTCTTCTGCTGAAGTGAAAGAAAGAGGTCAAGAAGAGTCAGAAGTTGTCCACACCAATTGTTCCCAAATTTATTTGTTCACTGAACTGCTTTGACAGGGAAAAAAAGACGACACCCTCAATGAATAGCTATTCCATCTTGCTTCTCTTTCCATTTTTTTATATTAAAAACAAGATGAAACAAAACTTACCAAAATTAACAGGGAAATCAATCTTAGTTCTAATCAGAGATCAATGAAATAGTGTTTTTTCTCTAACTTTTATTTGTAGGCATTCATGCAAGAAACAAAACATTGTGTGAATTATATATTGTCATGTAATGTACATGAAAATACTGGACAATGGACCACTTGCAGGATCTAAGTGTTCAACAGTGGTCTCTAAATCCTGTTTTGAGAAAGAATGATTTATATATTCATTAATACCATTTAGATGTGCTCACCCTGAAAAAAATTATTACTGTGGAATTTAATTACCTATTAAGAAATGTCAGTAGTGGAGGAGGTCTGTTTAGAGAGAAGACTCATCAAGGTCCATCCTGTTTTGGATGGTGAATTCCCTTTCAAGTTTCATACATGTACAGCAGGGTACCATTTAGTTTAAATAATAAAGTGATCCAATTTCCTTTATTTGGTTTGATTAGACTATGCATAATAGAATTGGAAGATTCCTACAGATGATGAGTTTATTGTTTTACTCTTAAAGGTGGGATCTTAAACGTCCTTTTCTTACTACATCAAATCGTTCTCAGGCGACAGACTTTCTTAAGAGGACTTTAATCATACAAAGTAGGATAAAGTTAAAAAAAACCCCAAGACTTATCAGTTTTAAAAAAAATTTTGTTATTGTATGTAATTGAGCACAATAGGCTTATAAACAGTAGTCCATAGTCTTCCAAGATTTTAGCTAGAGAATAACATCAAAATATGACTGAAATTAACCATTCTTCTCTTCAGATATCCTTTGCTAACTGTACATATGTCAATCCAAAAGAGTAAAATAGGTAATGGGAGAAGCTGTTATACTTATAGTTTTAAAGTGAAAAGAAGAAAAGTTTTATATTTAGTATATTTATGTGTATATATATACGCTACATGAAGCTATAAACATAGAAATTCAAATTATCACTTCTTAATAACACAATTTTAATTTGATAGCCAGAAACATTCCCAAATTAGGCGGAAATTTCTAAGCATTTAGGTATGACAAATCTGGTTCAAAGCTTTTTGGATATTGTATTCACAAATGTGAGAAATTATCCAGAATTTCTTCGGTTCTCAAAATTGGAAGTCAGTATTATAACGGTAGCCAGCATGTGAAACAAAAGCATGATTTTTCTGAAAGAATGAGAAGGTATGTAGAGTCTATTATGTCAACAAGCATTTATTAAACCTTATGTCAAGCACCATACTAAGCACTGGGAATACAAATATAATCCAAAGACAGGCCCTGCTTTCATGGAGCTTACATTCCAATGATTCCAATGGGGGAATACAACACATAAAGGAAGCTGAAAAGCAGTGGGGAAGGTATGGGAGAGAAAGAAGTCTGAGAGTCAAGAGCCATGGGTAGATGAATAAAGAAAGATGGTGAGTGATCTGCACAGGTGGAAGGCTTACATATGCTGATGAATGATGGACCCATCCAAGGATCAAAGTAAGTACACAAGCTAAAAGCCACTGATACAGAAAATATTGCTCAGGTAAAATAACATTAATTATAGTCACTTGTTCATCCTGTTGCTAAAGGAACTAAACTTAAAAGGCACAATGTCCTTCTTAATTTAAATAAATGCATACAATATCACATAATGGCATCCATAATTTATCTTCTGTTTATACTGTTTAATAATTATAGAAATATCTCCTACCAAAATCCCCTTTCTTAAATAGAAGCAATGAAAATGAAATAAATAAATTTGAAAATGAAATGATTATCCTTTCTTGTACATACAGCTTTTCCATGGTAGGAAACTGGACTTCCAAATTAAGAACCCAAGTGCCTTAATGTGTGGGTTACTTAGGACTTTGCCTTGAAATACTAATTTTTCTATGAACTACATTTTCATTTCACTAAACTCTTTCAATTCTAGGAAAAACACTTCTAAATATACTATAAATTATCAAGCACTCAAACCACAATTTTTTCTTTCATGATAATTGTATAGATTCTCTCACTTGTATAATTAATAGACATAAAGCAGATAGACATCAGGAATAAACATAAATTTTTCAAATTACTTTTAAAAAGAAACCTTGTTTCCTGTCATGCAAGAATTATTAAATACTGTGCAAATCACTTAATCTTTCTGACCCGTAGTTTCATTACCAGTAAAATAAAGATATTGGACTCTGCAAACTATAAGGTCACTTCAAATGAGAACATTCTGTGAGTCTATGAACTAAAAGGAAAGGATTTCATTGGGTCTTGGGAGATGGGAAATAAGAATTTCTTTAAATCCAGGACATTCTCTTAGAAGCTAGAATTTAGTGTCTACACTTAGGAATCTGGGTTATATTAGAAATAATCTGGAAAAGAAAACTAATGTTAGAAGTAGAAAGAATTATTCCATCAATTGAAATATAGAGTAAATTTTAGTAATCATTCATTTATATGGCAAAAGATTATTTCATTCCTTAAGATGGTGTCCAAGTAAGATAACCCAAAGAAATATCTATTTTCTTTTGTTCTTTGGCTTTAAAAACAAGCAAAAGGTTATGAATTCAAGACCTTCAACCATGAGTATAAAACTGTTCACTAATTAGAACTTCTTACTTGTTTACAAACAAATTGTTGGCACAATTTTTCTTCTGAGACAAGTGCATATCAAATACATTTTCAAAACTGGTCCCATGTGAAAAAGAGTTTGAGAAAAACATTATTTTAAAATACAAATTTGGTTTTAAAAACTTATATCAAAGTGAATGAATTATACTTACAATAGCATTTTAAAAGGCGCAATTAAGATTGTAATGCTTACTTGTGGCCCAGCTCATGAGCAATTGTGAATGCCAGATTGAGACCATTGTCTTCTGCAAGCACACATTTCCTCTTGGCACTGCATACTCCTCCCAAATAAGCAATTCCTATAAAAAAAAAAAAAGGAAAACACACACACTTCAGAGTTTGCAAGACACTTCCTCAAGTAATTGCAATGAAAATTGTCTGAAAGTAACAAAGTCAATAACTGCTCATGTGTTTATGGTTAACAAAACCTGAACAAATGCTTACAATACAGGTGAATTATGGTAAACAAAGGCCAATAGATCAATGTATGTTTTGTTTAGAAGTTTCATATTGAAATTTATCTGTGTCAATGCAACAGAATGGAATATTTATCTACTGATTTCTAGAGTTTAAGACCACAGATGATAATTAATGAAGACCATGGAAATATCTTCCTAAAGGACAGTAAGAGGAGGAAAGAGGGAGGAGAGTGCCTAGGAACTTAATTAAACTCAAAATATGGTAGTTGGAAGAAGTGAATCTACTGCTTTCACATGGTTGAAAGGTTATTATGAAGAAGAAGAATTAGGTTTGTTCTGCTTCAGCCCAAGATGATAGAAGTAGGACTAATGAGTAGAAGTTGCAAAGAGGCAAATTTAAATGACATAAGGATACTCTGTAACAATTAGAACTTCCCCAAAGCAGTAAATGGAAAGAATCAGCATAACTCTTTTAAGGATGAGAAAAGGTCGAAAGGAAAAGACAGGTTAATTAATTTATTCAGGGTTACAAAGTACATCAGCGAAAGAACTCTAGGTCCTATGGTCAAAATTTGTCTCCTTAGTTTCCATCACTGATTCAATCTTATTCCTCCTAATGACAGGTATCCTGCAAATTTCAGCCCTGTATATTCCATTCTCCTTTCTCTACCCTCTTTCTTGGTGATCTTATCAGCTGCCATAAATTCAATTATCACCTTGCTGTAAATGAATATAACACACACACACACACATATACATTCACATATACAAACATGCAACCTTAAAGTACAAATATATGTGTGCATATATATATATACATATATGTATGCATTCATGTATGTGTATTAAGCTCAAGTTGGTTAAGCTTCAGTTTGATAAATAAAAACAATATCCTATACTTCAGCATTAAGTAAATATTTTCCTTTAAAAAATTTCCCTGGATTTTCAATCTCATGAAAGGATTTTCAATCTACATGTTGATAATACATGATCATTCAACTTCCACTTGAAATTCACCAGTGAATGAGACCCATTACCTTCTAACTAGCCTGTTTACCTCTAGGACAGCTTTAGTAGCTAGGAAGGTTATCTTCCCATTAAAGCCAAAATTTGCTTCTCTACTCATAGCTCCCAGTTTTACTCTCTGAGGCCAAGCAGAACAACTCTAAGTCACTTTTCACATACTTGAAGACAGCTATCACATAACCCTCTAAGGATCTTCTCTGGGTTAAACATCTCCAGTCTTTTCAATAGGTCTTGATATGTCATGGCCCCTATTCTTTTCAGTATAATGATTCCTTCCTCTGGATATGTACCAGATTGTCAACATCCCTTCTAAAAAATGCCACGCAGAATTGAACACAATACTTCAGATGCAGTATGGCTTGAGGCCAGCAGCACTATCACATCTCACATTCAACTTGCTATTGTCCTTTAAATGAAGTTTTTTATTTTTATTACCTTTTAATTTTTTTTGGCCACCATGTTATTTAGTTGACTCATATTGAGGTTACAATTCCCGAAACCAACTGATATTTTAAACAGATATTGTTTAGCCATGCTTTCCCCATCCTGTACTTGTGAAGCTGATTTTTTTCAACTTTAAACTAATGCTCAAAACTGAAATGATCTTCTTTGCCCCTAAACCTTCTCCTCCTCTCAATTGCTTTAATTCTTTTGGTGGCCCTGCCACCCTCGGGACCACCCAGATTCAAGATCTTGAAATCACTATTCTTTTTATTAAGAAATGTCACTTGTGGCCAACTGCTTTCATTCACACCCAATGCTCTAGGTCCCTTTATTTCTACCTAATCTCACATGTAGGAATCTCCTCTTCCCTGGCAGAGGCTACAGCAAGTTTAATAACTTGATGTTCAGATAGCCTGTGCAATATAAACTGTTCATCACAGCTTCCCAGGATTCACCTCTGGCAATTTGTGGGAGGTACCAGGATCTAGAACACAAGATAATACCCTATTGCATATACTCATACTTGTACTATGCCCTGAAACTTTGATTAAGGGCATGGATGCCAACTGTAACAAACTGTGATACTGGGCATAAATAACTAGGACGCTAAGCTCTCAAAATTCCTCCATACTCATTGATTCTCATAAACACACTCTATTTCTATTATTCACAGTCTGACGATCTACACTGAATTCCACTGCCAACCCCTCTGACAATAATCAATGAACTATGTAAAGTAAACAACACTGAAGTTTCTACTTCTTCTCATTAAATTGGCAAAGATGATAGAAATTAGCAACAGTTAGCATTAGACAAGGAAGATAGGCAAAAGATAATACATTATTGGTGGATCTGTTAATTGGTCCAGGTTTTATGATAAACATTTGGGACTTTGCTAGAAAACTGATTAAGTTGTTCATGTCCTTTAACCCAGTAAAAAATTATTAGGCCTATACCCCCAAAGAAGTAAAAAACAGAGAGACAGCTCCTCTATAGACTAAAATATTTGTAGTGGTACTTTCTTATGTCAGCAAAAATAACAACCCCAAACCCAAACTAATCCCAAAATTGGAAACAGGATAGAAGCCCCCTGATTGTGGAATAACTGAGCAAAGTATGGAATATTAATACAGTAGAATATTATTGATATAGTGGGACACTATTGTGATAAAAGAAATTATTCAGAGACTGATATACACTTGTAAGAGCACAATGAGAACCAAGAGAATGATAAACAGAAGAGTCACAATGCTGTAATATCACCAAAAGACCAGAATTTAGATTAATATGATAACCAATGTTGGTGCCAGGGGACTGATGATAAAATATACTTGCCTCCTTTTCAGTACAGGTCTATGAATATGGAAATGTGGTATTCATCATCAGACAAGGTCAATGTGTTGGTTTATTCTGCCTTACTTTTACCTGTTGGTTTTTCATATTTAAATGTCTCCCTTGTGGCTTCTGTCTTCTGTGCTTCTTTTTACAAGGCAGGGATCATGGGATTATAGACTTAACACTGAAAGGGACTTTTACTGCCATCTAGTCTAGTCCCCTCATTTTTTAGATAAGGAAACTGAGGCCCAAGGTCACACAGGTAGTGACAGAAAACAGGATTGCAGCCCAGGGCCTCTGACTCCAAAAGCTAGCAGTCTTTCCCCTAGGGCACTCTGCCTCTTTGTGGGTTCTCTGGGGGAATTGGAGGATAAGGGGGTGGGAAAATGACAGTGATGTAAATAAAATAAAATGAAAAGGAAAAAACATTCCAAGCCATATGCTCCAACCTCCTTCCATGCACCCCAGGCCAAGCTTCTCCCACAACACCTAACTCCAGCAGTATGGGTACACCCTGAAGCCTCTTAAATCAGCCCACAAAATCAAAGCAGCTGCACAGCCTCTGGGGCACAGCTGTTCCTACTTTCAACCAAGGCATCCCCAGACTCTAACAGACTCTTCTCTCTCCCTCGGCTTCCCAATCAGTTGCCAAGTCCTGTTAATTCTACCTCCATGATCTCTCTCAACTCAACCCCATTCTTTCCATTTCACACTGGCAATGCCCTAGTTCAGGCCCTTGTGAATCTCTCCTGGGCTATAACAACAACATTCTACATTATGTAGAATGTAATGTTCACAAAACATTTTCTGTTAATTCATGGGAATCTCACAACAACCCTACGAAGGACAACTTGGTAGGGCAGTGGATAGCATGCTGGGACTGGAGTCAGGAAGACGTGAGTTCAAATCTTCCTTGGACACATACTAGCTATGTGACCCTGGGCAAATCTGTAAAATAGGGATAATAACTGTACCCAGGGTTGTTGTGAGAATCAAATGAGGTAATAATTGGAAAGGGTTTAGCACAGTGCCTGGCACATAGTAAGCACTATATAAATGTTAGCTATTATTATTAGATACTATTGAAATAATCACTCTCATTTTATAGATGAAGAAACTAGGGCTGAGAGAAATGTTAGCAGTTTGCACATGGTCACATAGCTATTAGTGTAAGAATTTCAACCCATGTCTCTGCTGACTCCAAGTCTAGCATATTTATATTCCATTAATCAGTCCTCTTGTCAGGGATTACTACTGGCAAGCTCCTTAGGGATCAGACTCATCTCTATTCCTTCTCCTGGCATAATGCAGGCAAGTAATAAATGTGCATGTTTCTAATTGGTTTCCAGACCTGCAAGTCCATCATGTCCCTACTCAAAGTTCAGTGGTTCCCCATGATCAATCAGTCAAAATATTAATTCCTTTGTTATTCAGTCTTATCTGACTCTTCATGACCCCACTTTGGGCTTTCTTGACAGATATACCAGAGTGGTTTGCCATTTCCTTCTCCAGCTCATTTTACAGATGAGAAAACTGAAGCAAACAGGGTTAAATGTTTGGGTCACACAGCTAGTAAGTAAGTATCTGAGGCCAGATTTGAACTCAAATTTTCCTGACTCCAGGCCTGGCACTCTATCCATTGTGCCACCTAACTACCCCTATTAATTCCTTAGCCTGGAATTTAAAATAAATGGCATAGTGGATAGAACACTAGACTTGGAGTCAGGGAGATCTGAGTTGAGACCCTCGCTAGCAATGTGACGCTGGGCAAGCCACATTAACCTTTTTTGCCTCAGTTTCCATATCTGCAAAAGGGTGATAATTATAGCACCTATTTCACAGTATTCTTGTAAAGATTAAATAAGATTATATATGTAAAGTAACTAAAACCTCCCTTAAAGTGCTATTTCCATTATCATCATCATTATTAAAGACTTCAACAATTAGGTTCTAACTTGCATTTTCAGTCTTATTTTCTGCTACTTACTTTCTCAGTCTCTACATTCTATCCAGTCTGGCTTACTAACTATTCCCCAAAATTGCTGTGTTATCTCGCATACTTGTGCATTCATGTT